TTACTATGCCGTTACGAAAATTAACAATAACATATATGACGTCTTTAGTTTCTTTGTACATTTTATTTAGCAAAATTAATGCATATACTGTTAGAGTTTTGAATATATTGTATATTATTGTGATATGTTCTGTTCTGTTCATAAATCTCTAAATTCGTAAGTACTAAACTAGTAAGATAATTCTTGAACCATTTCTTCATATTACAGCTATGTCTCTTTCTTTTCACACGTCATAGATATCTTTTTAATTCATCAATATGATGGAAAAAAAAGTTTCCACTTTTTTCTGTCAGGATTGTGTAATAGAGGTTAACTTTGAACAAGTCATGCATCTAGTATGATGATTTTCTTTTGCGTAGTTTTTGTGCAGACGGAAAACAAAACTACGTATATCTTAAAATCTTCTTTTATACAGAAACAGTGATTACTTCATTTGTTTATAATATGAGATTACTTTATATTAAGTTTAATTCCATATGACAACAAAAGAAACGTTCTATGAAATAAATCAATTAAGTGAAACTATTTTTCAGCAGTCTAAAGTAACTTCAATAGTTCTTCGTTGTCACAAATAATCAGACATTTTTCTTCGAATCAAATGTGTACACAAGACAAAAACTATCGGAAGATAATTTTATTTTTTTTCTAAAGAAAAATTAGGAAAAAGTACATTTTATGCAATGACTCTTCCTGTTATAATCAGAATAATGGAAATTATATCGTCAAAGAAACCTGTGTATTACAAAAAGGATGGTAACAAGTTTCCGCTGATGTTGGAAAAAGAAACAACGTTACTATGCTGTTAGGAAAATTAACAATAATGTTTATGATGTCTTTACTTTTTTACCAGAATTGTGTAGTAGAGGTTAACTTCGAACAAGTCATGCATCTAGTATGATGATTTTTTTGCATACTTTGTGCGCAGACGGAAAACAAAAATACGTATATCTTAAAATCTTGTTTTATGTGGAAACAATGATCACTTCATGTGTTTATAATATGAGATTACTTTATATTAAATTGAATTCTATATGTCAATATAAGAAACGCTTTATGAAATAAATCAATTGAGAGAAACTACTTTTCAGCAGTATAAAGTAACTTCAATAATTCTTCATTTTCACAAATAATCAGTTTTTTTCCTTCGAATAAAATGTGTCCCGCCCAATAGAATGATATCTAGTTTTTGTAGTTTTACGTTGCTATAATATAAAATGTACATACAACACAAAAACTATCTGAAGATAATTTGATTTTGTTTACACAGAAACGTTAGAAAAAAGCACATTTTGTGCAACGTTGTTCGTCTATTATACTTAGAATAATGGAAATTACATCGTCAAAGACAACTGTGTATTACAAAAAAAATGATGATAATAAATATCTGCTGATGTTGGAAGAAAAACATCGTTACTATGTCGTTAGGGAAAATAACAATAATGTTTATGACGTCTTTACTTTCTTTGTACATTTGTTTAGCAAAATTAATAAAAATACTTTTTAGTATTTTGAATATGTTGTATATCATTGCGACATGTTCAGTTTTATTCATAAGTCTCTGAATCCATAAGATCTAAGCATGTGAGAAAAATCTTGAATCCTTCGTCCATAGTACAACTATGAGAAATAATAAACACAGAACACATAAAATCTACATTTGGAATCTCGAGAATAGAGTGAAACAAAAAAGACCAACGTCTTCTTCAATTTTTCAAGTCAACAAGATTTATTCTGAATAAATAAAGATACATAAAACTATTAATCAACAAAGGGTATAATAATTTTTTTGAATTTTATTTTGTATCAAATAGAAGAGAAAAAAAGAAAATAAACAAAAAAAAAGGGAAAAATACTTATGCTAGAAGGGAAAAATACTTATGCTAGAAGTGATAAATATTGTAACGAGAGACCTTTCGATTTTTTCTTCTTTATCAAACTAATTTGAAAATGATGATGTAGTTTCAGAATAAGTATTATGAAGATGTTACATTATAATTGAAGACAAAAAACCGCTAAAAGAATACAGGTTTTGCTTCATAATTGGTACTATGAAGATATTAGATTACAATGATAGACAAAAACCTTGTGAAAATACAGGAAAAAAATTGAGAGGACTGCTCAACAAACAGAAAAGGAGAAGGAGGAAAAAAGTTCTTGCTGAAGCAGCATGCTTCACAATGAATAAGTGGTAATATAAAGCGATAAATCCACGTGAGTAGATTTATTCATGAAACAGAAGAAACATTCTAAGCTTACTTGGCAGATGCTTTTTACGGAATAGTTAGGAGACTCAGTGAATTGAAATAGAAAATATTCGGTCGACCATAATTCAAAATCTTTGATCGAAATAAATTACATTGAGAACTACTCATAACTAGATTTTTCATATGAGAAGTTGAAGTTTCTCTATGAATCATCATTTTATTCATAATCGACTTCTATTGGTATTATTTTTGAATCTTTGTTACTATTCTTGGTTCATTATTCGACGATTTTTATTTAACATCAAAATTTATTTTCAATTGAATACAATAGATCATTGGTTCTAGAAACAATTTTATTTATAACAATCATATAAATCAGACATAATAAATTCTTTGATATTCTTTTAAAAGTATTGACACACTCTTATGAACGATATTAATATGATAGTCATTAACTTAAATTTACATCTGTTTAAAGTAAATTGGAAAATAAGTAATCTGTTAATATTTTAATTCTATATTGTCAAAATATAGATATGATCATGTTACATATCTTCAATAAACAAATTCAAAAATAACCACTTACTCGTTTAAAGTATATTCATCATTCTATATTCTCATTGTACTGCATTACTGATGATTACAACTTATTGTTTGTTAAACATGTCTGGTTTTATTTGTTGTAAATATGTTCATACCATATCTATATCAGACTGATATGTAAACAGGCATCTAAGAAAATAGATGATAATGTCTTTATCCTCAAAAGGTGCTCTTAAGCAAAAATAAAGGGCTCTTTAGAAATATTGATCGTTTATTTTTAGTTTTCCGTAGAAGACTGAAGATAAATTGGTAACACGTCGGAGCAAGGTAAGCCATGTTGATGAGAATAAAATTTTATATAGAAGTAAAATATATGTTAATTTAATAGTGTGACTTCGTTTATAAACTTGTATGTCGACGAAATCTATATAAGTTTGACAGTTCATAAAGCATGTTATCCTTGAACTGCGAAGATGTACCGAACATTTGTTTTTATTAGCATCTCCTATGCATATGTTTATATATTCTGTTAGAAAAGCATACATCTAAATAGTTCGCAATATTTCAAGGAAGAACGCATGCGATATGAATTCTTTTCAAAATTTTCATATTACACTGGTATTTATTTATGATCGAAAGATAGAATCCAAACGACTGAGGCATGTCAATATATTCCATAGTTTGTCTATATTTTGCAGCTCTGACTTGGTGAAAATAAAAAATATTTTCTTATTCTAGAATAATATCAATATATTTCAGATTAGCATAGTAATATTATCAGAATGCTCAACAACTGTATGAAATAGAATATTGTAAAAGCTGATAGAAAACATGAAGAAAAACAACTGTATGATATGATTTGTTTTCTTTTGTTTAAACTAGATATAACGATTGTTCGATATTGAAGGAAAATAGAGATTGTTTACATGTCAGATGAGAGAGGGATAAAAGTTAAAGATAAGTTTTTTTATAAATAAATTGAGAAGACATTATAGGTAGTATTTCTTATTTATTATGAATGTAAGTGTATTGATTATCTTCGGGAAGCATTAGTAACTTGTATTAACCTTTGATCATTGATGATTTTATCGACACTTTTCAAAATTTTTGAAACTAAAATGAGAAAAAATAATGATGAAAAAGCAGATGATCAGAAAACTAAACGAGAAAATCTTTTTGTAAAATAGATACAATAAATGTTAAATACTTATGAAAACGTCGCATACATTTCTATATTTCAATAACTCAAAGAATTCGTGTTTAAGTGCGCACTCCCACTTTCAGAAACTTTTCAGCAAAAGTTATATATTTTATTAGAAAAAAAAGTCACGAAATGAAAAAAAACTGCTCTGCGCCTCCTCCCATTTTTTTCTTTGTTGCATATCCGTGATTACATTATTTTACTTTGTTATTTGTTAGAATTCTATTAAAATTTATTATTTCTTCCACTTTTTGTTATTCTTTATATGTCATACATTTTCTGATCATTATTACCAGAAGTAGTGAATCAAAAAAATTAGGTCAATCATTATTGTCTTCCTTTGAATTTAGAAAATATTATCATTGATGCACAAGTTGATGCACTAATAGAATCATATTGAATGTGTGAAAAAAGAAAATATCTCATGTTTATTATGGTAAATATTGACATATTTATCTAGATCTTGAAGTGATTGAATATTTGTGAAATTGTCTGTTGTTTTTTAATAGTTACAACATGAAAATATCGATACAACTTGACTAATATTGAGTAAATATTATATGGCTCGCTAGATCACGATGATTTAGAAAACGATACTATTCGTTTACTGACAGAAGGGCATAGAACAAGGTGTTTTTTGATAATTCAGTCACCACTTTTTCTTCGAGATAATTAAATGATCAATCAATAACTTTCTTTATAGATTTTTTTGTAGTATAGAACTTCGTATCATGGCTGCTATTCCATTCTTTTCGATTACGATTAACTGATGGATAATAGCAAAGTACAAGTTCCAGTAGATTGGAAATACGTTTTTCCAAATTATGAATTTTTCAAAACTTAAAGTTCCAAAGATGAGTCTCGACTCATGTGCTATCTATTATAATATGTATAGATTAGTGTATCGAATTTATCTCCAATCATAACATCTCACTGTATATATAGAGAGAGAATAATATCATTTTTTCTTCTCTCTCTCTCTCGCTCACTATTTTCTATCCAACCGAAATTAACTTGATCAATCACGATAACTGTTAACATTTCTGAACATTATGGAAAATAAAAAATCATCAATTGATACGGGTAAGACATATTTTAGAATGCCCATAGATTGGAACAAATAAAATTTTTATATTTTTCATAAAATAGATTTACAAATGACAAAACCATTTGATATTGTTTCAATATGTTTACCAGTATCCAAAAAACTTTTACATCACTCATATACTGAAACAACAACTACAGAAATAAATAATAATATAATTTGTGCAGTTTGTGGAGATATTTCAAATGGTAAACATTATGGAATATTATCATGTAATGGTTGTAGTGGTTTTTTCAAACGAAGTATTCGACGAAAATTACTTTATCAGTAAGAATTTCTATTAAACGAAATACAATAAATTAATTTTGAGATTATACTAGATGTCAAACAAAGAGAGGTAATTGTACTATTGATAAAATTCATCGTAATCAATGTCAAGCATGTCGATTTAAAAAAGTAAAATATATGCATAAAATTAAATATCATTTAATATTATTTTTTCTTTACAGTGTTTACAAATGGGAATGTTAAAAGAAGGTATTTTTCTGTTTGATTATAATTAAAAAAAACTGTTAAAAATTTTAGCTGTACAAAGTGAACGTCAACGACGTAATAATGTTCATTCAATTGATTATCATGATAAATATATTGAAAGAACAATGGATCATTGCTCTTCTCGACAAACAAATGATTTAGTTAATCATATCGATGATATTGTTTATACAACATCATCTCAAATTCTTTTGATGATTATCAAATGGATACGTAATTTACCAACATTTTCAAATTTATCTATACATGATCAGGTAGTTTGTTTATTTTTCATCTAAAGAAGAAGAAGCAAGTTGAAACGCTGACAAATAATATTTAATCCTAGAGAATATATTGTTTGAAACGATGAGATGAATTTTATTATTCAAAAAAAGGTGTCATTGCTAATCTTAAAAAAAACAATTCATGATCAACTGTGAGATCATATTCTTTTTATTTAGTCAATTTTAATAGAAGAATCTTGGTCAGAATTATTTCTTCTCTGGGCAATACAATGTTCTATTTCATTAGATAATGGAGGTCATAGTGAGAATGATAAATTAATAAATAATATTTTTCAAATATTTAAACAATTAAAACTTGATCCTATTGAATATGCTTGTTTAAAAGCAATTATTCTATTTCGATTTGGTAAGATAAATTAAATATACGTTTTTTTTTGAATTATGAATGACTATCATGTTTGCAGATATTCGAACATTGAATGATGTTAAGCAAATTGAATATTTACAAGATCAAGCACAAATAACATTAGCTCAATTTACACAAATTTATAATCCAACACGGTATTTTTATTTTGTAATTTAAATATCAAATTATGTTTTTTATTTAGTTTCGGTCGATTACTTTTAACATTACCATTATTTCGTAATATTTCATCAAAATTCATTGAAAAAACATATTTTTCTCATACAATTGGTAATACATCGATATCAAAATTACTTTTACATATGTTCAAGAATTAAAATATGCATATATATTAGAAAAAAAAATTCATATGTTTATTTTAACGTTGAAATATTCCTTCAGAAATAACTTTTATATCTGAATTGACACTTTCAATTTGTTCATTAATTAATTTGTCAATACGTTTTTCTAACATTGGATGAGTAAAATAACCTTAAATAAATAAAATTCTCAATAGAATAATAAGAAGAAAAAAAAGAATTATATACCTGCTGCAAATTGACGGATATCACTAGGTTTTTGAAGACAAGCTTGTCGAATAAAATCTCGACATAAAATATTTAATTCTGGATGTTTTTGAAGATAACGTTCATTTTCAATACGTTTTTTTATCTAAATTATTTGAAGAAATAAATATTAATTGAAAAAAATTGATTACTAACCTTTAGTTCATTAATTTTCGTTTGTTGTTCAGGTAATAATGCACCTTCATCATATTTTTCTGTTGAATGTGGAGGATCATCAACTGGTTTTGCATCCATTTCCTATTATGTTATTACAGAAGAGATCACTGGATATGTAGACACTATTTTCAACCATAAATCAATTGTAATATTTTCTCATGTTACCTAGCAACGATAAATATAATTTTGAAATTATTCAATATAAGCGACATCTTATGGTAACTAAAATTTTGATTACATTTACACATGTTATATGATTGTAGTCACCGTTTTAAGGAAACTAACGAGTTAAGGGAAAACATGGAAACCATCAAAGAGGCACAAGAAATGAAATATGATTGGTTATTGATATCACAAATAGAAACGATTTTCTTGATCGGTAATTCATACAGTATCAGTTAAGGAATTGATCATATTATTATATGAGAAACTAAAAATTTTTAGAATTACTTTGTTTATTGATAAATGTCGGTAGTGTAGATGAACGTCGACCAGTTACACCCGCACCTTCATCAATCTATGAGATAACTCGACTTATCTCATATTAGAAATCAGATTTCAACTATACTTCTTTTAAATTTAGTTTGTATATATAATATAACTATGAGATAA